GCCATGAAGAAGATCTGGAGGAAGGACATCAGCCAGTTCAGGCTGAGAGCTCTGTATTGAGCCCTATGGATGAGTTAGCTATAATTCAAGTGCAGGTGAGCTCCCTGGTAGACGCAATGGGAAGGATGAGTGCACGTCACAATGACATGCATGAAACTATGTCCCAACTTTCAGCTGTCATTTTGAACAAACAGAATTAGGCTAGCAGCTCTAACAATCAGGAATTGGCTCTTCAGTCGAATCTGTCACAATCTACTCGGCTAGAGAGGGCCGTTGAATCATCACAGCCATGGCCACTAGTAATGATACTCCAACCAGTTACAACATCAAGTCAGCCGGTGAATACTCCAATAACCTAGGTAGAGAACCATCCACAACCTACTGTGTCAGGTTTTAATCAGCCACCAGTAACAGCTCCGCGGCTACAGGTAATTCCACCAGACCCTCCTTGGGTACCTTTGAACTTGGGGGGTAATTAGATTAGGTGGAGACCCCCAAACCCACTATATAATCATGTGCAACCACAGGTTAGGCTCGAGGGGCAGCCAATGGCTAATCGGCCACAAGGCTGGCCGAATTATTATTAGCCGCCAATGGTATATCAGTCTGGACTCAGGGGGCAGCCGATGAAAAATCAGCCAGAAGATTGGCCGATTTATAATCAGCCGCCAGTGGTAAATCAATCATAGCAAGGTTGGTCGATTTACAATCAGCCACCAGTAGAAAGTCAGTCGCCAGTGGTATATTAGTCTAAACCTTTGGGACTCGGGGGGCAAACGATGGCTAATCATCCAGAAGGCTGGCCGAATGACAATTAGCTACCAACGGAAAATCAGCCGCAAATGGTACATCATCCAAAATCTTTTAACCCGGGGGGCAATCAGGTAGGGTGGCGAGCTCCAAATCCATTTTATGCTCGGGAATTACGACAGCCAGGACTCGGGGGGTAGCCGATGGCTAATCAGCCACAAGGCTGGCCGAATTATAATCAACCACTAGCAAAAAATTAGCCTCCAATGGTATATCAGCCAAAACCTTTAGTACTCGGGGTGCAGTCGATGGCCAATCAGTCACAAATGCTAAATAAGCCACTAGTGGTAAATCAGGATCGACCAGTTGTTGATCATCCTAATCAGCCAACGGCGGTCAATAATGTTCAGGTGGCTAATATTATTAAGCAAGAATATGGTAATGGCCTTAGGAGAATAGGCCGACCAATGTACAAAAAGCCAAAATCAGCCACATCCGGCACTCGAACATCTACCGTATCGGCCAAAAAGGGAGCGGATGATGAAGTCATGGGGGTCGACAATGATCTTTTCATAACAGGTAGTAATGTGATCGTCCAGGCTCCCAAAGGGAAGATTGATGAAGGGAATCAGCCTAAGGTTGCCGAGAGGACACCATCAGCCATTCCAAATGTCAAGGCTTTCATACAACACAGTTGCTGCTCTGAATGGAAAAGATCAAATCAGCCAGATTACCAGAATGCTTGGCCGAGAGTGGTATCTAATCCTCAGCCAGAACCATCATTGGCCGAGAGAATTCTTTTAGCTCTTCGACCTCAACTGAATTACAAGAAAAGAAAGCAGGGATAGAAATTAAAAAAAGGTTAAGTTGAAGAGAAATCTGTGGAATAAAATAAATTGGCCATTTAATGGAAAATTTTACATGGCTGATGCAGTGCTACATGAAGAGAATCTTATTTTGTTCAAAAGAACAAATAAAATGGGGCAACCAGTATCGGCCACAATGAAAAGAAGTCTGGCTAATGGGTTAATCAGAAAGGTATTTTGGCCAATGATAATACTTCTTCGGCTGGTTGTTCAAGTGCCAAATAAAGAATTAAGGATGAGTCAGGCCATAATGGCCTCTGACATTCTGAAAGCTTACCTGGCAGATAAAAAATCAGCCATAAAAGAAATACTATTCTTGGTATTTTTGGCTGATATAGCTAAAATCATTGAAGAAGATGACTATGCAAAAACTTGGTATGGCGTACTTTCAGAAGCTCCATAGGAGTTTAAAAATTCAAGAGGATCAACCATCAGAAAAGCTCTATACTGGTAATATGTTGTTCTTCCAATAGAAAAGCCGATTAGATTGGCCCAAATGACATTACATAACGACCTGATCCCCGCCGATCATGATCATGCCTTACTAGTAGAGCTGAAAAACTTCAATGGTGAGGTCTATCATGGGTTTATAAATAGCCAATATTTTGAAGGGTATCAGCCATCTTTGTAAGAATAATAAAAGAACCAGGATCGGCCATTCCTGGCTGACACAAAATAAAGACCAACTTAGAGGTGGTCCGGAAGAAATAAAGTCTAGAAGCTCGCTGGCTACCAGTTTCTTCCATGTTATAAAAATTCCAAAAAATCTTATCGACCTGAGTGGCCGATATGACATTTAAAATTTGGGGGGCATTTGTTGGCACCAAAACTTGGCAGCCATCTTAGCGATGACGTGGACCAATGACAAGGTGACAAATATTTTCAACATGGCACCATGAGGATTGGCCATATGAAAATTATTGGAGAAAAATGAGGTGACCCGTGGAATTATATTTGATATATTGTTTGGCTGCCAAGCCAAATGGAAGGTTGCTAAATTTTAGAAATAAATAGTTAACTACTTTATAGCATATATTTACTGACTTAGAAGGAAATATTGGAATTTGGTAGTGGGTCAATAACTAAAGCCATACAAACAAGGAAGGAAAGTTGAGTTATTATATGGAAGCTCCAATTTTAACTTAGTTTGAGGCAAATAAGGAATATAGGTTTTGACTGATTCAAAGGGAAGGCCATGATGGAGATAAATCCGTATATTATAGCTGGAGAGGGGAAGTTCATTTGAAGAAAGAGACCTAGTTAACATCAAACCCAATTTGAATTACAAAGGAGAGAAAATCAAGGAAGGAGATATTTTAGCAAGAAATTAGGAAAATAAGTTGGGAGAAAACTCTATAAATAGGAAAGTTTGTATTCTTTCCAAATTGTCCAGCACCACCCACAAAATATGAATTTCTTATTTAATTGACTCTACGTCATTTTATCATTTATCTTTATGGCAATTTTCATTCAAAGAATTTAAGTTCTAGTAACTTACTCTTCTTTTGCAATGATTTAATTACGCTATTTCAATTCAAAATGTTTTCAATTCAATGGCAATCGATTAAATTCTTGCCACTACATTTTGCGTTCATTCCTTTACTTTCCATGTAATTTCCATTCTTCCAGTTTTAATTATGCCATTTTAATTCAAAATGTTTTCAATTCAATGGCAATTGATTAAATTCTTGTCATTGCATTTTGTTGACAATTGATTAAATTCTTGCCATTGCATTTTGTTTTACTGCAATTCTTTCCGCGCGATTTCCATTCTGCCAGTTTTAATTATGCACATTTTAATTCAAAATGTTTTCAATTCAATGGCAATCGATTGAATTCTTGTCATTCTTTTTACTGGCAATTGATCAAATTCTTGCCACTGCATTTCAATTTAGCCATTTACTTTTCAGTCAATTTTCATTCAGCCGTCTTTCTTTAAAGTCAATTTAAATTCAACCCTTTTCATTCAAATTTTCTTCAGTCATTGCATTTTTATTTCTTTTAGCACCTAGATAAAAAGTCCTTGCATCAAGGCATAAAAGAACCTTGTTTGGAGTTCTTACTAGTCTCTATCCCACACATTCACCTGAAAGTCAGCCATGAAAAAAGGGACAGGCAGGTGTTCATTTCAATATTTTGGGTGTTTTGTACAAATACTCTGGCATGCTCGTAAGAGTCCATCGACTAGCGTAAAAACCGTGCGAACACATTCAGAATTTCTATTGTCCCTTTGAACCTAGATCTTGGAATCTCCAGCCAGCTAGTGTGACGACCATGGTTTTAAGACCCGGTGCGTCTTGTAATGACCCGAAGGTTGATCCAAAAACAGATCTCTAGGGATATACATAGTCCCTAAGACACCTAAGGGACCTTCTATGAGGCCACAGAACTCAACGAGATTGAAAACAGAAGCAAGGGTTGAAAATAAACCAAGTATGGCACAGAGGGCAAAATGGCCCTTTCACCCAGAAAACAAGACTCTACAGATGTACATCATCCTTAAGGCACAAACGTGACCCCCTATGAAATCACGGAACTCAAAAAAACAAGATGTAGAAAATTAGGGTTGAAAACGGCAATGTTTAACCCCAGGGGCAAAATGGTTATTTCTAAAAAGATGTAAGCAATATCGAGCACACCATTGGATAGACAACGAAATATTAATAAAGTTAGAATCAAGAATCGCCTGATTCGGAGTCCAAACGAAGGAGATATGACCATTTGAAAATGGAGCGTCAAGGCTGCCCAGATGGGGGGCACCATGGGCGCCCATGGCGCACGCCGCGCGTGCGCTACAGCCTCCTGACATTGCCAATGACTTGTACTAATTTTTAGGATTAAAATGCTACTTTGAGGGCTTAAACAACATTTTTTGGAAAAAAAGTTATAAAGTAACCCCCCTCCAAAATCATGTTTTCTACATGACTATGTCAAGAGAAGTTTTTATTTTTTAAGTGAAATACCCAAAATGCCCCTTAGATCATAATTTTCTTTGAAAAAGTGCGCGCACCAGAAAATCATATTTGACGCGGGTTTTTGAAACCGAGACGACATTTTTTGGAAAAATGTTGTGAAGAAACCCCCTATAAAATCACATTTTCTAAGTAACCATAAGGCCGAAGCTTATTTTTCAAAAAAAAAATCCCCAAAATGCCCTTCAACCAGATTTTGCATAAAACTTAAAAATGCAAGTTCCTCTAAGTGTTCATTTCATGCCAAATGGTGTTGTGTGCAAAAACGATTATGCATGCAAACGTAAAATACCATTTTAAGCGTGCTGCAATGGCCTACGGCCTTTAAATAAACCCAATGTAAAATATCATACCCCAAACCTCAATTTTCATCATTTTTGTAATTTAACATGAAATCAAAAGTACTTCAAAGTAAACTTAAAGGTTCTTGGCCCTTGGCCTTATTACATACATGTCAAATACATCCCAAAAGGTGTATTTATATGTTCATTACATATTTAGAACAAAATATACAAGTTTTGGCATATAAAACCAAAATAAGGTAAAAACATGTTACAAGTGCATGAAATCAAATATTCCAAAATACTCCATTCTATGTTGTGCATCCCAAAATAGTGTTTCCTTACCTGAAAAATATTCCAAACAACTAGGTGAGTAAACAAGATACTCGTAGGAAATGAACATGCGCATAACTTAAAGTTTTAATCATTTTGCAAGTTAATATAATCGATCCATATGGTTCATGCCACCTAACGTCTAGATCCAAAGTGGAACTAAGGGATCATCCTAAGCTACTTTAGAACATCTTCTACACAAGCCACAAGGTTAACGTAATTAAACCATATTGGGATATCAAATGCAACACAACAAGTTATAATTTCTCAATATTATCAACTTGGAAACGAAAATGTGAAAAAAACTAAAATGGTTTATGCCACCTAACGTTTATATCCCAAATGAGTCTATAGGATTATTCCCAACTACATTAGAACAAGTTAACATAAATCACAATATTTATGCAAAAAGTAACATTGGAACATCAAACAAAATGCAATAAGATATAAATTCCCAAGGCTACCAACTTGAAATTTAAAATGCGAAAACAACTAACGTGGATATACTTAACAAAATTGGAATGTCCAAAATATCGCAACAAGGTATAAATTCTCAAAATATCAACTTGAAATTTAAATTGTGAAAACAACTAAGGTGGATATACTTAACAAAATTGGAATGTCCGAAATATCACAAGGTATAAATTAGTTATCAACTTGAAATTTAAAATGCGAAATCAACAAAGGTGGATATACTTGGACATCACGCTGAAATAGACACGGACACAATGGATCACTTTTGGGTTACTAGCCCGTTGGTACCCTCCCCTAAGTGCGCACTATAAAGTATGGAGAACTCGTATCTCCCGTACTAGAACTTTACTCTAGCCATAGTCAAGACAACGACATCCAAAGTTTCCAAAATCATCAAATTGTGTAACAAAGTATATATATATATATATATATATATATATATATATCAATATGTATATACAAGCAATAAGACACATATCATGCACAACAAAATTTTTGGAAACACACATTACATGCTCTAAGTCCTCAAACTATAATGGCATGTAATATGTCAAATTCATAAAGTGTATCAACATAAACTACATCTATGACATCAATACATAAAGTCCATTTATGTAATTATAAAACAAGTTCTAGTTTCATGATTTAATTATTAAAACAATTTCAAATATATAATTAAATCATCAGATCAACAAAATAGAAGTTCACTAATCAAATTAATGAAAAATACAGGATTTCAAAACATATCCAATTGAAGTAAGCTTAATATATGTTGAAGATCAAGTCAAGACCTTAATTAATATCAAGTTTAAAGTCAATTCCACGCAAGACACAACTAGAGACAAGTCTAGAATCTAATTAAAATCACATAGTTAAATCTCTAGATTACAAAACATCTTTAATTGATTTTTAGGTCATGAATGTCTTCCAAATAAATGATTAAATCACTAGAACAATTAAATAGAATTTAATTGAATAAAATAATTAAATTCCCTAGATTTTAAAACTCATTCAAATTATTCCAAATTTATATATGTCAAAGATCAAAGTAAAGCCTAATTTAGTATCATGTAATAGCCTAATTAAATCAATGGAATAATTACATAGAAATTAATTAAATAAAAATAATTAATTTCTCTAGATTGCAAACCTACTCCAAATGACTTCAATTAATTATATGTCAAAGATCATATCATGGTCATTACAATTATCAAGTTAAAAACATAATCAAATATGTAGAACAATTAAATAGAATTTAATTAAAATAAAATAATTAAATCTCTAGATTTTAAAACAACTCCAAATGATTCCAAATAACTATATGTTAAAGATCATATCATGGTCATTACATATATCAAGTCAAAACTTAATTTAAATCAAAGGAACATATTAATAAAAATTAATTAAATTAATTTCTCTAGGTTTCAAAATAACTCTAAATGACTTCAAATTAACACAAGTTATAGATCAAGTCATGGTCTTTCCAAATATTATATCTTAGTTTAATTTCATGCAAGGTACTACTACCAACAAACTTTATAATTAAGTTAAAGACATGAATACAATTATATTAAGCTACAAAAGCATTTAAAACACTAAGATTATAAACATATAACACCTCTTACCTCACTAAAGAAGTGTCTCTCTAGAATCCAAAGAAAATAAGGGTTTTTCAAGAAATCCTTCAAGGGTTTTGTAGAGGAGGGTGAGAGGAAGCTTTTGTTTCCTAAGGGTTTAGCTCTAAGGTGAGTGGAAGGGGACCAAAATGGTGGTGGTAGGTCTAGGTCAAAGCTTGCTTCAATGGATGCAAGCTTAGGGTTTAGAGAGAAAAAGATAAGAAGATGAGAAGAAAATGTGTGAGTGGAGAATCTAGTATTCCTCTACTCATTACGTGCACTAGCACCATCACTTACACACACATCTTTAGATAATTGCACAAAACCCCTTTTTACATAAATAAACACAAAAAAAAATCCAAAATAATTCTAAAATAATTGCAAAATGGTCCCTCTTCCAAATGTCTTGCAAATTAAATTGTAAAGTGGTCCCTAAGACAAAAGGTAATTACAAAATTTAATTACACAAAAATCCTAAAAACAAAGAATGTTTCCTAAGAAACGATGCATCCATGCCCTTTACGAAAAAGTAAACAAGTAGTATGTTTTTTTCTAAAAAGTAAAACTACGCATTTCATAGAAATCAAATGTTAAGGATGTATGCAAAGTCGAGATCAAATCCTAGCGCAAAAAGTAAGGTTACGCGAAAGAAATGATAAACGGGAAAAAGACGAAAAAAAAAAAAGTGCGAAGATAATGCGGCCCTCGCAAGGACGCTGTCAATCCAAAAAAAATAGTCTTGGAAACTATTCCCGAGTACTCGAGACAACTCAAAGGGACAAAAACCTAAACTCAGAAAAGAAAAACCAACGGAAAAAGAAAATCCGTAAAAATGGGAAAAGAAAGAAAGAAAGGAAAATGACCGGGTCATTACAGCTAGATTGAGTTTACATTAAGATGACTCGTTAGCTTTCGGCTTTAACCCTATTCCCCTTGATGATCTGTACACTTGCTCTCTAGTACAACCCTTAATTTTATATGTGACCACAAGGTTGTATTAAAAAATATTACACTATGAAGAGATTTTCCTAGTTGAGAGCAACAATATACTTCGTGCCCTAAAATTACTTATAGCAATATGATTTTCTTTAGTGGCAGAGGTGTAAACTTAGTTTGAAATGTCATCTTCTTTAAGTTTATTTTCTTTTCTAATTGATTTATTCAAAATTTCTATCTTTGATTTATATTAAGGACATACAACTACACCTTTAATATTGAAAACATATCTGCTCTTTTACATTTTATACATATAATTTATTAAATTATACAAAATGACCCCCTAAATTATGTTTTTTTTTTTTTTTTTTTGAAAAAAAAATGGCTCTAAATTTTTTTTTTCTTTCTCTTCTTGGACCTTTTTTTTTTTTTTTTTTTTTTTTTTTTTTGTCTTCAAAGGAACTTGTATTTTCTTTCTTCAATCAAATTATAATTTTTTTCTTTCAAAGTTTTTCCTAATTTTTGTTTTATTTAAAAATTTAATTTTATGATATTATAATATGCCCCGAGTGGGGTCAACACCAACTCATACCCAACCCCACCCATACCACCTTCATTTGGAATCCTCGGACATAAGAGGATATATAATTTTCCTTTGGAGTCTGATCTAAACTATGTACTACACAATAAAACTAGGAAATGAAATTGACAATGCTAAACTAAGGTAACTAAAATGAAACATGATAATAGTATGATTTACGATTTCAAAAGAATATTGCAATTTCTAATAGGATTAAGATTTTCATTTGTTCGTTGTTTCACTGGAATCATCAATTGTAAAAGAGCAACACATTCAACTGGTGTTTCTTATTCATACAGCTTCGCGGAATAACTTTTGAAATTCAATCAATTTTTTTAAACTATATTGAAGTTTTAGTACTCTACAATATTTCAAAATTAAATAAATACATATATTTCCACACATCATTATATGAATATATAGTGAAAAAAGAAGAAGGAATTGATGGAAACTATTTAACTAAATACGATCTTACTTTAAAAGTACGAGAATATCAAACTTTGTTGAGCCTCTTCCAAAATGCAATATAAAAGTATAAGGTAGAGGATACTTAAATGCTTGAAATCATGCCGTAAGATTCAACGGTTGTTGGAAAACACAAAATATGTTCACACTAAATGAGATTACTATTGAGAAAATATGACCACGTAATGCATGATCTATTTCATACTTACTTTTCATGTTTAATTAGTCCACACTCATATGCACAAGCGTAGCATAAGTTAGACATTTGCTTATCTAGTGAAAATATGTAGAAATTCGGAATAAAATAATTTTTCTTTAGATTTGCCCAAATGTATTTCTATGAAATGATAGGTATTAGGTTTCTTTAGATAAGATGGATTAATTGGAAGGTTTTTTTTGATTTATCTTGTTTTTCAAATTATCCAAAAAAAAAAAAACTTGTTTTCTATGTGTGAAGTATGTAAATGAAATAGCAGACATCAATTCCCTTAACTTACAACTACTGGAATTCATGGACTAGTATAATTTAAATTTATTTTCTGTGTAATTTATGTTAACATAATAGCAGACATCAATTCCCTACATAAAATTCTTGATATTATTTAAACAGACATAATCCTTAGTTCATATTAAGAGTGCACAAAGAACCGGCGTAACCGTTAGGAATCGGATTTGAAACCGGTGCTTTGGTTTCGGCTCCAAATATTTAGAATTATTAAGTTCCTCTGGAATTGGAACCGGAATCGTTAGAAACCGAAACCAAATCGTTAGAAACCGAAACCGAACTAATAATTATAGATATTATTTTTTAATTATATAATTACTAAAATATATGCTTATATTTACTGAATATATATATATATATATATATATATATATATATATGTGGCTATTGATGCTTGTTGTGGCCCAAGTGTTGTCTTAGTCAAGGTATTGCTAAATAATAAAAATAATAAAAATGGGAACCAGAGCCAAACCGGAATCGAAACTGTGGAACCGATTCGGTTCAGTTCGATTCAGTTCGATTCAGTTCCGATTCCATATCCCAATGGTTCCGATTATAATTTCTAGGAATCATTAAGAATAGTTCCGGTTGTAAGTTCACATAGACAACAATTCACTTTACACAATTACTTATGGTAAGAAATAGAAAATGGTTTTTTTTTAAATGAACTAAATATGTCCCAGTTTTTCCAACCAAATGAGGGACCAACCAAATGATGGACCAGGATCACCTCGAGTCCAACAGTATCTCATTTCTTCCTTTTTTTTGTTAATGAACAGTAGTTACTAACGTAGGTTAAAATATTTATTTATTTTATACACAATTTCCATATATTAATGCTATTTCTTCTTCCTTCCCTTATTTTCAACATAAGCCTCATCTCTTCCATTTTCTTCCAAAATATTGATTTTGATTTCTTTCCAAAATCCCGCCATTTCAGCAACTTGGATTTTGATTTCTTTCCAAAATATTATTTCTTGTGAGTTTTTTGTAATTTAAGTCTATATAAATTGCACGTACCATCCCAACATAATCTTACTTAACATCCCAAGTAATACGCACGTAACATCCCAACAGTTTGTAATTTAAATCAGTATAAATTATACGTAACATCCTAACATAATCTTACTTAACATCCCAAACACTACATATGTTAACATCAAGCACTACATATGTTAACATAACTAGATTATATTATATACTACCATAATTACATTATAGACGTTGTAACAGTGATTTACTGGCCGTTTAATATTAACCTATTTATACCTATTTGTATCATTATCATAACACCAATTCTATATACATTAATTCAATATATTCTTCATATTATATCTCTATCTCTCTGTCTTTCTATCTCTAGTAATCAACACGGTATCAGGGCCACCGTCGGAGATGTCGGCATAAGCCTCATCTCCGACGGTGATCCAAAGTCCTCAATTAAACTAACCTCTGCTTCTGCTCATCAGTCACTTCTACCGGAGTTCATCACTGCCAAATGCTACTCCATCATTTCATCCAACCCAGTCATGGCAGCCATCACCGTGTCCAGCTCCCTGCTCGCCCTTACCCGAGCTCTCTGCCATCGTCACCGCCGTCCGCCAGCTTAACCTCACCGGGTCAATCAAACTCCTAACTCGCCTCACCCATCTCCGCCTCTCAGCCACTGCTCTCTGCATCGACAACACCACCAACGTATTCTACCTCATCCTCAGCCGATACCCAACACACCAACCACCCTGCTCACAGATCCAAGATCTCCCTCAACCTTCTCCGAATCTCTGCCCCGCCATATTAAATATATATATATATATATATATATATATATATATATCACCACCGGAGCTCAATCTGAACAACCGCTCGATCTGAACCTCTGCCACCGGAGAAACACCAGCCATCCTCGGCAGCATATCTTTTCCATTACTACCGAACTCATCATCGATCGGCTCCATCTGAGCCGCCGCAGACCAGCTCGTCCCTACCTCTGCAGTGGACGTCGTCCCGCTGTCCTGCCATCATAGACATCGATCTGCAGTCGACGTCGTCTCGCTGTCCCGCCGTCCTTCGACGTCGCGACCTCACATCGATCTGGTCCGATATGGTCCCGATGTCATCCCGCCATCCTTCGTTGTCAACATCGGTCTCAAGTCAACATCGACTTTTGAAGACAGCTCATCCCTATCTCTTCACCACCATAGCCATCATCGCCGCTGCCGCCACGATTCTGCCGTCATCTGCTATCTCCGTGCTCATCTCGTCGAACTCACCGCTACCAGACATCACAGCCCCGAACTCAGTTTCGGCGCCGCCATCATCATCCTCACAGTAAGCCATCTCCCTCTTCGTCGGCGCCGAACCAGTCGTCTCCATTGGATCCTCACAGCCCGTGGCCAGATCTGTCCTGCGGCCACATCTGTCTCGCCGGCCATCTTCATCCTCGCGACTGGATCTGTCTCGCCGGCTCTCCAACAGCCGCCACCTCCATCTCCAAGCTTGCCGTTAAATTTGTCTCGGCCCTCCAACAAACCATCCTCTCCTTCACCTCCCTGCCGACTAAGTTAAAACCCAACCCTCACATGTCTTCTTTTCCATTTTTTACTTTACCCCTCTCTCTCTCTCTCTCTCTCTCTCTCTCCTTTCCCATTTCACAGTTCACATGGGCAGAATCTCACTCTTTTCAACGTGGTGAAGGCCAATTTTAGAATTGGCTCCGTTTCAACTCCGGCTTTTGACCCAGTTCAGTTCAAGTTTTAGCCCAATTC